CTACCCGTAATGTCCCTGTTACACTCACCAAACGACCCTTTCCGGAGGAGTTTAGTCCGTGGTTTACACGAAAGATTGTCCCCTCACAATTCGATTTCCTCCAAAACAGAGGCTGGCTTTGCGAAATCGTCATTTTATTTGCCACCATAAAGTCGCCAAATTATACAACATCCCACCAACAGTCGTTACAAATTTGGATTGCTTTTCAAGGTCAAGGCTACACAGTGCGAAAGAACGATTTGAGACTGTACCCAGACTCATTTTATTTCATCTTAATTCCTAGTAATCCCAAAATATTGGTTGCACATATGCATTCGCCCCTGCTCGTCGAATCTATTCCGTCCTATTTATCACTACCCGTGAAATTCGCGGTGTTATTATTTCACCCTGAAAATCTGGTGACACTCTGTTACGAAAGAAGTATTCGAAGTCTACATGATTGTGTCTGCACTACGACAACTTTAAGTAAGGATACGATTTTATTCACTCCTTCAAACTACCCGACAAGATTGGAGCAGTTTTGGGTCGATACTTCTGAACCTTCACATCCACTCGCAGATAGTTTAATTGGTATTGCAGTCCGTCAACTTAATGCAACTTGGGAAAAGGTTTTCCGTTGGGGTTTCGGCTTTGCTCACTGGCCAACTACGTGCCTCTACTACGAAGGTAAATGGTTGGATGACTTTTCGGGAAGCGAACATCTGTATAATTCACAACTTGTCACCACGAGTTTTTCCGGGTTCTCGTTTTTCTCTTACTTCCACCTTTCCAGAGGACTTTCATTTTCCCTGTATTTAGCTCCTTACGATTCATCCGTGTGGATCGGCACAGCTTTCATGTTGCTCTAGTCAACTGGCCTCCTTTCGGTAGGATTTTACCTGACCAACAAAGTATTCTACCCGCTGAAACTATTCTTGTACTTTTTCGGTCTCCTGATCGACGAGGTGGACAAGGTGCCGACAAAACTGAGCGATTTTCTACCCTTCCGATTCCTAAGCTTTCCCTGGCTCCTCGTCGGCATGCTGCTAAGCACGCTACCTGAGTAGTTTCATAAACAACTTAAACTCACCCCTTCCCGGGGATCGGGGCGACACGTATGATAAAGTTTTCTGTCAAGACAAATCACAAGCAATAATAAGTGGGAGGATGATGGTGGACAGACATAATTCAACATATTTTAGGAGCTTCCTCAGGAAACCGGGTTCCCCGATTGAGAACTTGGGAGGATTCTGCTACACAATGTTGTCTGAATTCACTCCGCAATGGTTTACAAAAAATCAAGACCATGAAGCTTATACATTCGGCACCTACTTTCACAAGAGAGTTTACGTTGCTTACAGGGCCGATCTTTCGGAATATCCACAGCATCTAGCACGATTACTGTATGCCGCCATTGGTCCAAAAATTCGGTGGTACCCGAATAAATTAAGACTTTTAGGAAACAATGGAACCGCCCGCGAAGTAAACGAGGCGATCGAGGAGGAGCTAGTGCAATGTGACAGATCAGCTTATGGCGGTCTGTCGAATGAGATCGACACCTACTACGACCATCTGAAGAGAATCTATCCCGCCAAAAAATGGTATCGTGGAGAAAAAACAATTTTTGCAGGGCCGATTGGATTTATTGTTCAGATTTGGCGGGAATCTCGGATGCTGCGATATCTTAAATTGTTTATGAGTTCAGGAATTTACAACCAGGTGTCTCGTCAGGTTAACTTGAACGCGACAATATTACGCGAGAGGGAGCTTAGACGTGGTAAAAATTGGAAACTTCGACATGAAACGACCTTATTTCAGGTGGTCAGGCTTGGCGGGAGTATTCAAACTATTTTTATTTTACTCGTTACCTGTCTGGCGGTATTTTTTTTGTTGTTCTTTATCGAGTATGTGAAATATAATAGGGCAAACATCGTGGAGAGGGTGAGCTTAATTTGGGCACGATTTGTGGAAAAAGTCAGACGCTGCTAGAAAATACGAAGTAGAATTAATTTACGACGGAAGACGAAATTGAGGAATGGATAATTATGGTCCAAAAAACAAGCCAGAATCTGAATATTAAGGTTACGATTTGTAGTGAATAAAGAGGGTATTTCTTCGTATCCTTGAAAATAGTTTACGAACAAAAAGCAGGGGTTCAGGGTTCGTAAAAATTGTAAGCATGATTATACAATAACGTGATTTTAGATGACAAAATCTCGCAAATATATACTTAGCTTATATTACGAGCCGAAGAATACTAAGGATGCGAATAAATAATGAATGCCCTCAATTGAGACAGGGTAATAAATTTGAAACACTGCGTGACCTAAGTTGATGCAGAATTTCCCGTTGTAAATAATCTTTCCTTCACACGGGGTGATCTCGAAATTTCTAGCCAAAACTGTATATCCATTTAGTTTACATTGGAGGTGGGTTGAAATACATTTGAATATGCAATTGTCCATTGTGAAAGAAGTGGAATATGTATGCACATGTAACTAAATAGGAAAAGTGTGTTGTGTAGAATATTTAAATATGTATATGTACATATGTACTGGTAGTTACTTGTTAGTATGTTACGTATGTAGTTATGTAAGTATCTAGAACAAATAAATTATGGGATAAGAAGTCAGACTCATTTACATAATATAGAACTGTTTTTGTGGCACACTTTCAAACAAGGCGATATGTAATGAATTAATCATACGCACAAGAATAAGTTATCAAAGATATATTTACCGATATATGCATTACAAACTAGCTTGAACTAAAATAAAACAGAAAATTAACCGATAACAATAATTGTTCATATTACATTTATTAGGGTGATGTGATGGGGATGTGCATGAACCTTTGTGCTGGAATGCTGGTGTAAGAAATTGTGGGTGTGACTCAAAAAACTATAGTTTTTTCGCAATTTCTATTTGGTCAATTTAGTTTAATGTATTACAAGAAGTTGAATTTAAGTAGCTTGACCAACCGTCGTTAAATTTAAATTTACAAGAGGATTTGGAGACTGGCAAGGAAAATAAGATGACAATCGTAGATATGAGGTTGAGTATTAGCATACATATTTAGTATTTATTTAATAGAATGAGTCAACCGACAGATAAGGATTATCTTTGCACTTGTATTGTGACACTTATAATTGCCACATATACTCATGCCAAAATACAATTTTAACCTTTGAATCTTTGTTTATGTAATTATTTTGCCGCATTTGAAGGTTGTCAATTTGGCCAAATGTATTTCGATTAGTTATCCTACCTATATCCCCTCATTTATTTATTAAGTTCAATTACTCAATTTGTTTGTTTAAGTCGTCACCCAATAACATAGTGCCAGGTTACAATATACATCAACACAATCAAATTAGCATCTAAAATTAACATCCAATCCAACAAATGGCGTTAATGCGAGTCAAAAAGTTATTTATTCAGTTTGCTTCTTTGGCATACCTCAGTTTATCGCACTTCAAATAATTAAATTTTTGTTTATCATGACTTCTCACAAACAAGTTAACCCAAAAACACCTCTCCTAAGCCATTCGAAGTTACAGGTTGTGATAAAATGTATGGGAAAAAGGTTTTCAGCATTAGCGAAATTAAATCCAAAAATTCACCGAAAATCTCCAACATCTTTCGTACCAATTTTAATTTTTCTTACTACACTGGTCATTGTCCATTCAAAATTACATCATATTTATCCCAGTCTTCTGGCTTTTTCTCAAAATTAGTTTGCGGAATAACTTTTCTCCTCGCATTTATGAAAAAGATTTCGAAGCTGGTGTTACAGCTGAGAAGCTCACACGGGCAGAATCCCATTGACTACATTTACACTTTAAAATCCGCTATCTCTGTAGTGACAATTGTAAATTTATACTACATTGTTTTCAAAATGGGAAAGGAAATACAAAATTTGTTATCCCATTTGGGCCACATGGAAACTAAAAACTGCTGGAATATTTCAAAAATTTGGGATTGGAGACTTAAAATGGTAGGTTGGGAAGAAATATTTATGGGAGTATGAAGAACACAATTTTTAACTAACAAGGGATACTTTATAATAATATCTCGGCCGAACCTGCGCATTGGCAGATAGTTCAATTTGCAAATTTCATACTAATTATATTTGTGATCGACTGACGCTAGTTTGGTCAAAATCTGTGATCATACGTTGGGAGACCTCCATTATGAGTGTCACAGACCCAGCTACAATTAGAGACCGGCTGTAATTAGAGACCCGGCTAAATTTTGTTGCGCCCTAATTTTAGACGTTATTTATAAAATCATGAAAAAATAATGTTCATTTAATTTGACTCCTCTTATTTAGCCAGTTATGTCATCACTGTCATCAGTTAACCACCCACTTTAAATCTACGGCTATCAACGAGGATTAGCTAGTCTTTGTTTCAAGTTTATGTCATGATTATATGCAGCCTTATTAAGCTGAAATTAACAGTTTTGTAAATTTTCATCTCATTTGTTAATTAAACGAACTAGCATTTTTCTTGGATGAGGTTTGCATAGGGAAACAGCGGACGAGACAGGCCATAAATAGAGACCCGGCCATAATTATGGACCCGGCTATAATTGGATTATCGAACCCGTTTTTCGTGGTGAAGTCTGATAAATATTCATTCATTCATTCATAATTGGATTATTTTAGATCATTTTTGTATTCATGTCTAATTGATTAAAGGGTCCAGTTATAAAATTCCTATAATAATGTTACGTATGTATGTATGTACTTTTTGTTCTAGAGAGGTGACTAATTTTGTAATGCAGATAGTGTGAATAGGTAATATTTAACTTGGGTGCTTAACGTATGTCTGAAATTTATACCTTACATGTGATTATGACTGAACTTTGTAATGTTTTGTGGAGTACATTTTATCAGTTATCTCATAACATTTGTTTGTAAAAGTAAAAAATACGAACGCAATTTAATTGTTTAGCCTTCAGACTACATACTCTTCAACTGAAAGTGTACGATACCATCCGCATCGGACTTCAATCGGGTTGCTATAACTCATCAAAGATCACCCCATCATTCCACGAGATGAGCGAGTCTGACTGACGCGTACTCATGAAATCCACCAGAATACCACCTTGCCCACCATGAAACACAGTGGCCACGAAAGCTATGGAGACCTAAATATTGCTCGATTGGAGAGGGTTAGGTTTTTATAACATGGGCAGATTCTGGGGGCATCGAAAACCGTGCGGATATTTTCCCCATCTCACCACGATTCCGCGGCCACTGTTACATTGAAAAAGCATGAGAACCTCTCATGCAAGTAATAAAGCGTTCCAATGTATTTATCTGTACAAGAGCACATCTCCATACACCTGTGTCTCACGAATCGACTCTCGTTACCACTTCACAGCGGATGGAGATAAAAAATGAGTCATGTATGTACGCATTCATCAAAAAGTGTATAAATCTCGATAGTCAGCAGCATAGCAAGGAAAACTGATTCTCATTCACACCCAACCAACAGGCAAAGGAAGAGGATATTGAATTTATTTTTGGCTGCAAGAAACTTTACATTTCCTAATTTCCAGGAATTAGCTCGTTAATTTCATCCTCATATTTTAGAAACCAAAATCATCATCATAATGTCGTCCTGGAAGGTTTCGGGTCCTGACGCCAACGCGGATGCAAACTTCAAACTGGGTGAACAGAAAGTAAAAGCAAAAACGCGCTACAGTAAGCCAAAACCATTTGAATTTCAAAGTCAAAAGTTTTGCCTGCCCGTGCCAGGGCAAATTATATGCATGAGAAATATAATTTCCCAATACCCTCCACTTTTAATTTCTTTGCAGCCCCGTCTAAAGGTTGGAAAGACCCTTCAGCGGAATGGAATCTTGTAAATGTTGGAGCAAACGCTGGTTTGAGCACGGTCAAGGCGGAACGAGAGCTAACGGAAAATTCTAAGCTGAGCCTGCAAGGCCCAAGTTGTGGGGTGGACGCTGGGGTAAAGGTCACCGGGGAACGGGTCGGGGTTGACCTAATGGCTGAAGCAAGTGCCGCACAAGCCATGGTTTCAGCAGGACCTGCCTTTGTCAATGCCAATCTAAACGCCAACACTGGTGTAAAGGTAGGAACGGATGGGGTCAAGGTGGGTTTCCTCGGTTTTGGGGTGACCTTGGGTGTTGGAGGAAAATTTTCACTGGATACTCCCGTCGGTTCGGCCGGAGTTGCAACTGGAACTCATACACACGAATATACAAATGAAGATAAAATGACTTACACAAATTAAATTAAGTGAGAATATACTTATATTCGTCATGCAATCCAAAACATGGTAAAAATAGATAATAAACTTTTATGAATGCATAACGTGACAAAGATGCACAAATGCATTGACTATGCTATGTATGCATCCCAAACCTGGGTGAAATAAAATAAAAGAGTAGTTAAAAGATAGCAATAATTATTTGGGAATGAATTACATGGGCCCTTTTGTAAAAATTAAATAATCTGTGGACAAATAGTCACTCGCAGAGGTGCTCTATTTACTTATTTAGTACTTTAGTAGACGTTTTGTCATCAAGGGGAAATATATAAATAGGTAAAAATTCGTGGACGAATTACATGACGTCGTTATCTAATAAATGAACATCCTTTTGATCTGAATATAAGAGTTTTACATGAAAGCATTAAGTTTTTAGTAACGACGTCACAAATTTTGGAATGACTCAATACATCCAACGTTTCTTGAGGCTGTTTGTGGGACGTCCATAAATTATGTCACGCAAAAATTCAGATTTTTTTATGTATACGCTTCCTCCCCTTGTCACGGCTTACGATCCTTTTATGTTTGGAATTAACAGCTTGGAAAAGGCTACCTTTTACCAGGGATGAATGATGGGTAAGAAGCTAATTCAAATATTTTGATTGGAAACAAGATCCATTATTTTCATCATCGATTGATCATCATTACAATCTAAATATATGTAATAAATATGTATATACATTCCTACTACTTCTAATATGTATGTATGTAAATAACAATTTGTAACTTAACCGACTGGCCATAGTAATTTGTTCTTATAATGCAAACACAGGATGGGAATACTAATTTATAAAGACGGTGAAAAACAACCACAAAAATCAATAAACCTTTAGCATGCAAAAACATATGTAATTACAGGAGGCGAATTACTTGCATTTGGGAACGTCCATATATTACGCCATCAAAAAAAATACTACTCACCCGCCCCTTCCCTATTCTACTCTTAACTATAAAACGTAACACGATTCTTAAGCGATCGTGAATAGCAGAATTCGCAATATTAAATGCAAGTCTTCTTAGCGGAGTCGGCAATTAGCCTTCGATATGCTACCGCCGTTGTTTCGGTTAACGAGTAGTCTGGTCACCCCTCAAAGTATATACATACACAAGCGTAACACGAGTCAGATGGGGACCCAAACCTAGAAAACCACATTTTGATGGAGTAGTATATGGACGTTCCCAAGGCACATACTCAGTTTTCATAGATAGTTAATACTTGTCTTACGTTATCTAAACCCTACATGACTACCATTTAAAGTCAGATCAACTTCTGGAAATTCTAATATACATTTTGACAAGTCTTATACCTTTTCCGTCAGAATACAGACGAGACATATCAGTACGAAATCGAGAATCATGTCGAACATAATTTACTTGATGGGGATTTTAATAGTATTATACTTAATTGCAAATTTTAACTTTATCAAACTCACCTTAGCAATAAATTTGTCATCCGTCCTAACAAACCACAACCCCTGTAGAAACCACCTCGTCTTCAACAATATTTCCACATCGGAGCTATCAACTACCCGCAACGTCCCTGTTACTTTGACCAAACGAAACTTTCCGGCCGATTTTGTGCGGTGGGTAACACCAACAGATATCATCTCACAAGTTGACATTCTGCAAAATAAAGGCTGGCTTTGCGAAATTGTCATTTTCTTTGTCACCATAGATTCGCCAAGTTATACAAAATCTCACGAAAAATCGTTAGGATACTGGATTGCAATTCAGAGCAGTTACTATTTCACTTTAAACCGTAACAACAACTTAGAAATTTACCCGGATAATTTGTACTTTCCCTTAATTTCTAGTAGCTCAAAAATACTGTTGGCTACCAATTCACCACTATATTCACAGTCCTTAAATTTTAAGAAGCAACTACCAGTCCATTTCGCGGTTTTATTATTTCTTACCGAAAACAGGGTGCAATTATGTCACAAGAAAAGTCTAGAAAGTTTTCCAATTCTACAAAACTGTGTCTGCACCACTACAAATTCAGTGAAGTCTGCAGCTTTAATAAATCCATTAAACTACCCGCCTATTTCGGAATCTAATTGGATTTATCATCCCTATTTTAAGTCAACCCGAGTATAAGAAATTTTAATGATTACCTTATTGAGAAAACTTAATGCAAGCCGTCATTTCGAATTCATCGATTACCGGTGTCATGTAGTTCTCTCTGAACTCTGTTACTACCCGACGTTTCGACACGAAGGTCTTATCGAAAGAAACTTTCGTGAGACTACCAAACAAACATGACAGCTTTCCCCGGTTTTTCATTCATCTCGTGCTACGTGGTACTGGGTGGGGTTTCATTTAGCCTGTATTTAGCCCCTTACAATTCAATCGTGTGGATTGTCACGGTTAGCATGCTGCTCTTATCAACCTGCCTCCTTTCCTTAGGATTTTATCTTTCAACCCAACAATTCTACCCGTTCAAATTGTTCTTATACTTTTTCGGTTGCCTCATCGACGAGGTGGACAAGCTGCCGAAAAAATTGAGGAATTTCCTTCCCTTTCGAGTCTTAAGTATCGCATGGCTGTTGGTCTCCATAGTGATGAGCAATTGCTGTCTGAGTAGTTTCATCACCAATTTAAACTCACCCCTTCCCGGGGAACGATTCGACACTTATGAAAAAATTTCTTGTGGCGTGAAGGCCCCTGTATTTGTAAATTACTCCATGATTTACGTCAGGTTTAAGATGGGGACGAAATTGGAGGGTAAAGACATTGCTAATTTTACGGTTCCACCTTTCGTGAAAAATCTGGGTGGATATTGCTACACAATTTTGTCTCAATTTGCACCTTCTTCCGGAAACAAATATTACCTGAGAGATTATAAATTTTCGCAATATTTTTACCACGAAGTCACATTTCAATCGAAAAAATTTTTACCGCACTTGCAACGTTTACTGTATCCCCTGTTGAATCCAAGGATTCGTTGGTACCCGGAAAAGTTGAGACGTTTAGACGATAATGTAACGATCAATGTTGTTAATGAGGTGATTGAAGAGGAAATTTTGCAGTGTGATAGATCCGCTTATATGGGACCATCGAGTGAGGTAGAAACCTACTTTGAATACTTGAGGAGAAATTATCCAGCCAAAAAATGGTATCGTGGAGAGAAAACCATTTTTGACAATCCGATCGGACTTAAATTTCAGGTTGGGAGAGAATCACGGATGGTGAAGTATTTAATAATATTTTTGAATGTAGGAATTTATACCCGGATTTCGAATGAATTAGCCCAGAATGTGACATTATTTCTAGAGAGAGGTTTGAGAAATGGTGATAAATTTCGCTATGAAAGAGCTTTAAGGGCGATCAAGCTTGGCGACAGTGTGCAAACCGTGTTCATTCTACTGGTCACCTTGCTAACCGTCTCTTTTTGTGTAGCAATTTTTGAATGGGTGAACCATAATCAGGCACTTATCGTGAAAGGGATTAAATTAACTTGGGCAAAATTTATTAAAATTTCGGAATTCAGTCGTAATAAAATAAGGTTAAAGTTTAGTGAATTTTGTGGGTGTAAACAGTACTTCACTGTGCAAAAGCTAAAGGGGAGAAATTAATGTAAACATTCTTGTAATGAAACGAAAAGGTATGTATTTGTGTAACTGTAAACAAGTCGGCATAAATAACATACTGAATTAAACTAAGAAATGAGACACATTGTCAAATAAATATGATCTCAAATCTCAAATCTCAACAAACCTCACGTATTCGGCTCTGACCTCCTTGACATACTATAAAATTACACAATCCGCAGTGATTAAATCTAGATGCATCGTACGTGCATACATACTATGCCAGTTCGTTCTTCCCTACTGTAACAAATCCGGTAGATTTACTCCGCGCTGATATTAATTTCTGGTATTAATTTCTGGTATTAATTTCTTGATAATTTTCTGCTAGCTTTGTTATGATTTTATACAGATTGTTAAATTTTGTCTTCATTACAAATACTAAGCCGCAATTCTCGCTAGGACGATACCGATCGAGGCGTGCGAACATGGACAGTAATAATGCTTGTAAATTTAGTACCGCTTTTCTAAGAGTGCATGCATTGGTTATGTATATTCAATTATTTTATCCAGCACGTATGTACATATTCAGTACATAAGTCTAGGCAGGATTTGTGCCCGGATATTTTCTTCCCTCTCTAAATTTATTTGTAATATCTACTGTGCCAGTGTTATTAAATAAATAAAAGGATGGGACCATACGTAAAGGATGATACCGGTTTACAGTCAGCGTTCAAATCCGTGGATTGTTCAGTTAAAACGCGTGAATTTGCCCGATAATAATTTTTGGGGATCAAAATGGTTTCGAATTTAAACACATGTATTAAGTTTGACCATGAAATTCTTCATTTCTTCATCCGTTCGAGCAAGGTTCAAATTTCATCTAGTAAATTCTACACCGACCTCAACACTTGCTGTTAGTTCAAATTGTAGAAGAAAAGTTGCTTCTCAAATGCATGCATAAATCGTGAAAATATTAGCGATAAGAATGATATTGTGAATAATTAACATTGCCAATTATGCAAATATATTTTGTAGTGTTCAAATTGTCTTATTTATGTAGACATAAATGTATGAATGACCCCTTACATGCATTGTTCGATTTAATTCCATTACGCATTTAGCAGCGACTGGAGAGTTTGCAAGTTGGCTGACGTGGCAAGATCGTCTCAAGATCACGACATGATGCATTCGTAAATTCTCCCTGGATAAGAATAGAAGAGTAGTCATACTGGAGGGCCAGTCCTGCTAAATTTTATCCTCATATTTTTTTAATTCTATAAAGTGCAATTTTGAAGAAACATATAATAATTCAACTGGAGTTAAATAGAAATGGTAAGTAATTGGTTTAACTTACCTCTATGCACCATTCATTTCAGGTGCAAAAATCACTGAAATGTGTAACAAGGCCATCCCTTCCAAGTTAATTATTAACCTAAACACATCCAACTAAATACTTTTCCCACACATCTCAAAAACGTTCATGATTACATACATGTCTACTTACAATAATGGAACCTTTTTTCAAGCTCCATCGGAATCGACTGCGAGTTATGTTAAAAAATCAAGCTAAAAATTAGTCGTCACGTGAGACTAATCTTTTCGTTGAATGGCTACTTTGAAGAAAGATATTGGCGGTTAAGTTCAATTTTTGAGCAAATTTTGTCTTGCTTTCGCCTCCACGGCGCGAAATCCAGGGAGGATCGCGAACTTTGACCCCAATATTTTATTTCAAAGAGGCTATCAACGGAAAGATAAGTGTCATGTGACTCCTAATTTTTGGCTTGATTTTTTAATATAAATCGCTAGTCGATCCCGGTGTAGCTTGAAAAAAAGTTCCATTGTAAGTAAAAACGATTGTGTTTTTAATAATGATTTCTAACGGATTCTTTCAGTAAATTTGACGGAACCAATATATGTACATAACTCTGCTCTGGATCGGTTATCTAAATTTAGCAGGAAATACTTTCCCTCAGGTAAATATGAATACGATATAAATATATACGTATGTTCATATCTACTAATATAACTCTAATTGAATTAAATGTTAACCCCAGCTTGTAAATAAATATGTATTCTTGTTATCGACGATATTACATTACTTATTTATACAAATTATGGACACATATATCTAATTAGGCAATGATTTTTAAATTCCAGATGCTCCAAAATGACTGACAAGGTATTTATGCATACTCCCTAACCTTTCGCTAGTTTCTAAAGGAAATCGAGTCGTCGCAGTCATCATCTTCTGGCCGTGCTATTCAGCTCGTCTCATTCAGTTAAGAAAATGTAAATTGGCCTGCCATTACGGCAGACAAATATTTTCATATGTACTCTGACTGTGCGGCATGAATATTTACAATTTATTTATCATTTAATTTTATTTAACATGTAAAAATATATACTTCGAAGCTTGTTCTGTACCATTACTCTGATTTTATATGTATGTATATGTGGCTAAGTTTGCACTTCATGATTATTTCCTTATCCGTCATAGATTCCTATGGCGTCGCAAATCTGTGAGAGAATCATCTTAATTTCATGGCGTATTGGCAAAGCTTATCGTATTAAGTAGTAATCTAATAGTTAGTAAGTATGACACTTGATTTACAAATTTATCACACCATGCTTTCAAATATGATATCACTAGTTTTTCCGTGATAGAAATTGTGCTGGTTGCAGCGTGATTTGTTGAATCAATTAAAATTTAAAAAATATATATTTGCTTATCACTGGCTTGAATTCTACGTTTGGAATGAGAAAATAACTATTTACGAGATGATCAACTTTTTGGTTGCATGTCAAGTACGCATACATAATTACGTATATGTACGCCGTTTAAATAATACCTAAGGAATAGTAAGTAAAATTGTGTAAAAAATTTTCATTGTAAACTCTTTCATCATTGACTTTATCTATATTTACAATACGTACTATAGTACACCTAGACTACTTTGAACAATGACATAATTGTCTGAATATTTTAGCCTTCCTAATTTACAAATTCGTGGTAATTTCTATTTTCCACCGCCTTGTGTATTTCAGCTAACACGAGGTCATGATTCAAAGAATGAAGGTTTTTAGAAATCTCAATGATCTTGAGATTGTTATTTTGCAAGTTTTTTGTAAAATTATTTTGTATGCTTTGAACCCGTTCTAATTTGATTCATTGATTCACTGATAAAGATTTATTAGACCCTCTCGGGCCATAGAGTACAACAGAATTAATAATTCTGAAGAAAATAATCTATTAAGCTTAAGTCATTTGAGTCCGAAGAGAAGATTTTCGTGAAGCAAGTGAGACTTAATATTAATCATATTCAGATTAACCAGAGCCTAAGATATATGTATATATATTTAGATAATTTCTTAAATAGACACCGAATGATAATTGTAGCACTGACATATTTTGCATAAAATGTAATACACATTATGCACTAAGCTCAGACACGAAAATATCTCTTTGAAATTTGCAAATGAGAAAAATATATCTTAGGACAAAACACGACAATTAAATCACGTAATTTTCCAGATTTTTGAAGCGATACTATTAATTTACAATTAGTTGGCATGAACAACATTTACGTTCTGCCTGGTTGCTTCTTCCTTATTAATAAGACACATGGCAAAGGAATGCATTATTGCTTGATAAGCCAAAATCATGGAAATAAAAACAACTGCGTACAACATATGCTTATCGTATAATGTTTCACTATCGAGCAATTTCTCCTGCAATTCTTTCTGTTCAGCGAGGACCTGTCCTAATTCAGCGAGTTCAACTACTTTATCTAATTCTTTTAAACCTAATTCTTTCAAATTATCGAACTGATCATGCGTACCAACGTTTAAAATTCAAATTTTGTCAGATTTCACCTCATCAACTATCGTATAAGGTCTTTTCATGATTTAATTGATCCATTTGTTTTCCTGTATTTTTCGCGATCCATTTCCTCATGTATTTCAAAATTGGATTTTCAAAATGAACCTTGAACTTCTGTTACAATTTTCCCAACTTGGTTTGGAAATTTGCCCTCCTTACTTTTCTTTGTATCTGTGCCAGCTAGTTCAATTAAATGAGCCGGGTCAACATATTCCACTCCCGAATAGCCTCAATCGTTCTTCGTACCATAGTAAAATCTGACTCCACTAAACTAATTTTGTCCATTGTTTCGGTGTTTGTGTCGCATCTGTGGTTGGAGAAATCAGGCGATAACCTTTGTCCTCCTTCTCAATGCGACTCTCCATAAGGTCTACCTCTAGAAACTTTCTCTCAAATTCCACCACCTACTCATAGTGTTATTTGGGCAGATTTTCCAGTATATTAAATTATCATGATGGAATGCCTCGTCATGGGTACCCCCACTCAGTCAAATGGAAGTTCCTCCTTCATCACGAAGACTTTTAGACTTCAGATTTGTTGCTGAGCAATACCTATGTACACCTGTGGAATTACCTCTCGAACTACTCCAACATCGATAACTGCCGTTGTCATTTTCCTTTGAAGTGGAGCTATGAATATCAATTACAATTATAGTTATCAATTACGTGTTTCTTTTAAACATGACTTTATCTGCTACGACAGCAATAAAGGCCGGAAGTCCTGAGGCTGGAAGAGGTTCACTTATTACCTCATTTAACTTGTCTTTTGTGAGGGTGAAGAGTGCTGTAGTAAATTTCGACGCAAAGAATTCACTATGATTTATATCCCCCACACCTACAGTCAATGGAAAAAGTATTGGCAACCCCCACGCTAGCGCAATAAAATTGGCTATAACCATGGAATGCATTATACAATTGGCATGAAAATTTGTACGCATTTAGCAAATATAATGTAGTTTTCGATTATAATCATGATTTATTAATTAAAATTAGATCAACACAGTTTTTAAATAAGTTATTGCAAAATTTGCAAAATTCACCCGCAAAAAGTATTGGCAACATGTGGCCAAATTAATTACGCGAAACAATTTTCTTAATCACCTGCCACATTTCATTACGGTAAATTAATTAGGTGACAAAATATGACGATTTCAACATTTTAAGTCCGCAGTTGTATTGTCTGGAACCAAAATGGCGACACCAAACGAGCTGTATTTGTCGCGGCGAGAAATATTCATTTCTTTTTCGCAAAAAAAACTTGGATATCGAAAAATCAATGGAAAACATACTTTTCCATATCTACTATTGGAAAAGTAGCCAAGGAATATAAAATGACAATTTTAGTTTCTGCTTTTCCATGATGCGGAAGAAAAAAGTCACCTACGCCCAAATGCAAATGATGAATCAAGCAACAAATTACTTGAAATCGGAAGATTTTAATACCCAAAAGCATTTAGAATTTGAGAACCGACTGTGGAGTCAATATTTCATACAATTTGGTGATCAATAAAAAATCATGCCATGGGGTTTCAGGGTCCAGTAGCCCCATACAAGAGAAGGCTCCCGAAACGAATTAACTCAAGATATTTAAGTCAGCTAAATACCACCCTAAATAGACTTCCAATGGATGAAGAAGAGTCTGTTGGTCTCGCAGAAGCATATTTAACTTATTCGGTGCACGTTGGATGGTTAGAGTTTGGAGGAAGCAAAATGAGGCTTTGAAAATGAATGCATTCTTCTGGCAGTCAAACACGGAGGAGGATGGATTATGGTTTGGGGTTAAATGACTAGGCCGTGGCGTATTTACCTGATCATTATCGATGAAATCATGACCAATGCGGTCTAAATAATTATTCCAAACGATAATTTGAAATTATTTGGCAAAAACCTGACCTGGGGAGGAATTTAATATTCCAAAAATGCAGTGACCAAAACGGTTACCGCAATTAACGATGCAACTTTTTGGAGACCTAAGAGGTTAAGCTTCCTTCGTTGGTTGCACAGTAAACCGATGTGAATCTGATTGTCCGGGTTGAGATAGGAGAGACTGGTGGAAAACCACTCGTCCAAAAACGAGCTGGCCAAAATTTCGAACGAAGATTAGGCAGCCATGTTAAAAAGCGTTATAAAAAGATTTTTCGAATCAATTCCAATGCGTATTTCTGCTCTTATTGCGTCGAGGGGAGGTGATATGTATTACTAGAAGCAGTTTGTCGCAATAAAATTGGCTTTTCTTTGATTTATAATTTTTTAAGCTAAGGGTTGCCAATACTTTTTGCGGGTTAATTTTGTAAATTTTCCAACAAATTATTTAAAAACTGTGTTTATCTAATTTGAATCAATAAAACATGTATATAATCAAAAACTACATTATATTTGCTAAATGCGTACAAATTTTCATGTCCTTTGTATAATGCATTCCAAGGATATAGCCAATTTTATTTAGCTGGCGTTGGGGTTGCCAATACTTTTTCCATTGACTGTAATCCATTTGCAGCTGTATTTGTGATGGATTCTATGTAACTTTGCTAGCTCTGCTGCTATCTAATAGCCGTATATGCCGATCGACTGCATGTCATAGCAGCTGTTTTCTCTATATTGTCACTGTAAGTTTGAACTTCCTTCCTTAAGATTGAGATTCTGTCGAATTACTTATACTTTCATATTTCCGCTTGTAGGGCAGTAGAAGTTTGCTTAATACCTGTGTCGTCAACTCCGTCAGGTAGACCTTTAATACAATAAAGCCCTTCCGATTCCCCCAGCTTATTCACACTCTTACTTGTCCTGTTTTCAAATGCGGAAGCTGTGTTGCTCTAATAATTTTGCAACATTCCTCAGATTTCTTCCTTTTTCATAGTCATTCATGGCTTATATTGATCTGCATAAGTGAATTTCGGTATAGTATCATCTCATCGTATTTGAGTTCCTTTTGTCTTGTAATTCCATGCATCCTAGGCAGGCCCGTACCGACGATGCTTCTAGGTGGAGCGCTGGCTCCAAGCCGTACGGCCCGAAGGGCCGTACCGGCACGCCCTATGCACTAGATATAATTGTCCTATCACACGATGCAAGATAAATGCATATCAAGTGTGGAAAAGTGCATGGTAGACGTGCTTCATTTACGATGCCGGATGTTCCTAGTCAACAATTTAACAATTATAAACCCTAATCTGTTTTTACGGGGAGAGACGTTTAGTTAATAACAATTTTGATATGTGTCATACAAAATATAGCATTACAATTTCAGACGTACCTCAACGAAGTCATAATTGTATGTAACGTTTGATTTCAAGAAATGAGATAGATAAGATTGAACTCCGTGAGTTGCAAATGAGTCTCGAGGGGTTTGTACGTTGGGCATCCAAAATTGGTTTTTCTAATTTCATAGAAGATGTTAAAAACCGGTTTTCAATTTAACGGAAAACTGGTTTTATAATTTTCCAAAAACCGGTTTCAGAATTTGCCGAAAAATCGGTTCTTAAAAGCTCGAACTCTAATTTTCGGTTTTTTTTATAAAATACATTTTTTAAAAGCTAATGATTTCTGTTTCGAATTGTTGAGATAAGAGTTAGTTTTGCTGTAATCCCTTATAAGTTTACATTTAATTTTAATTTTGCATTCTTTGAGTATTACCCAGTACCCGCAAAAGTTCTGTTATTAGATTTCCCGGGTAAATTAAGCAGGGAAAACAATTTTTTAGAGATTTGTACTATTTTTTATTGATATCTCCATGCTTTTGTCTATCAGATACCATGCTTCCAAGTTTTTTGTGACCTAAGGTTCCAAAGTTACAGACCAGGAGAAACAACGTGTCGCAATTTTTCAACAAGATTTTTGTAAACAACAAAAATCGTCATTCTTCAATTGTTAAACAAAAATCGGAACTGATCGCAAGATGGTCGACCGTACCATAAAATGATCCTCTGACACTGGCAGTGTCGACGGGCGAAAAAGAAGTGGAAGTGAACGGCGATAAAGGTCACCAACATTGACCAAGGCGCGAAAAACCAGGATTCGCCCGAATCCATGCCGAGGCCGAAGAAAAATTCCCTTACGAATGAACGAATCAACTAAAACCATGTCCCTAGCCCATAAACTGGACCTTAGACTGAAGTCTTCAAGACATGAGGAGAAACACTTCCTAGCTACTCGCCAAGTAAAAAAAGACCCATCAGAACCCTGGTGCTGATCATGCGGTACGCATTTGAAAAATGGAAACAGATAGTTTTAAAAAAATGAGCCAACCTTTACCGGTGAGGCCTAATAAAATAGCAAAATGGCCACTTCTACACCCTACCAGTCTAGGCTATTCGTAAAAATTTCAAAAATGTTCATCGTTCCCACCATACTGGTTTTACGATTTTTTAATTGGACATCAGTTGGATTGGGTGGAAAAAGTGAATTTTCTTCCTTTGGGGGTGAAATTTCGTATGAAAAATTATTTTTCTAAGCTTTTGAGCGGATTGTGAAACCCTGGAACCACAACGTGTTCAAAAACAGCGAAATGACAGTCAAGTAGGGCTCAGGTCCTACTCATGTGGTCAAGATGGTAATTGGGTGATTGAAATCTCAAATTCCCGACTCCATTTCGGATCAAGAAAAAAATTGACTCTCACAGAACGAGAACTCAACGTTCTGAACTATGATATATTTTCTAAACTGGAGCTAGGTGTGTGTGCTAAACCCCACACAAGTTTAGAATCCACAAAAAAATCAATGGTCTAGAAATGAGGCCAATCTCTCCTGGAACGCGTGCGTACTCCGATCGAATGGTACAAACGAAGACCCTGGGCTCGTTTCGCCGTAAAAA